GACTAAAACCTTAATGCATAACACTTGGCCTTAGCATAACATACACGGAAGACATGACTAAATATAGAAAGATCATTAGGAAGTGTGTAGTATGGTTGAGCAGTTCTTAAGATAAATTTCTTTTACTTCAAGGAAATGGCATGACGACAACAAGATCATGCTACTATGTTCAGAGATTTACTAAGGGCAATGCAAGACTTGGGCAGGCAGCAGGCTCAAGCGACACCTCATAATGTAATAGCAGGTACCAATACCATGAGCTCGATTGTTGATCAGTTTCGTCGTTTTAAACCCCCATCCTTTGATGGTAAAGGTGACGCTTTTGCGGCTGAGGAGTGGCTGAGAAGACTTGAAGGGATCTTCGAGCACATGAACTGCAACGATGCTCAAAAGGTTTCTTGTGCGAAGTTTATGTTGACTGATGATGCTGGACATCGGTGGGAGTCAAAAATACATACTAGAACTACAGAACAACAACGTAACCTCACTTGGAACCAGTTCAAGGAGTCGTTGATGGGTAAATATTTTCTCAGTCACTGAAGGATCAAAAGGAGGTAGAATTTCTCCAGCTGATGCAAGGAAATTTGCCACTAGGGGAGTATGAAAGAAAATTTGAACGACTTTCTAGGTATGCACTGCATATGGTAAACACTGAGCTGACAAAGGGTAAAAGGTTTGAAATGGGGTTAAGGCCAGAGATTAAGGGAATCATGGCAGCCCAGTAGTATACTACTTATGCGAAGGTTGTACGTCAAGCACAGGCAATCTCTAATGGCTTAGGACTGGTAAAGAAAACCCAACCTAGCACCGAGTCGTCTATAAAGAGAAAGTGGTAAGGTTATGATAAGGAGAAAGGCAGGAATCAGAATAAGAAAGGAAAGATTAGGTTAGACTCAAATAAAACTTTTCCTCAATGTTCTGATTGCAACAAGCGACACTTGGGTGAATGTCTTCAGGGAAAGGGAGTATGCTACAGTTGTGGTAAGAGTGGTCATTTCCT